GCTATCCAGACCCCTTTCGGGAAGGTGAGGTTGAGTCGGCAGTTTGCGGACCCCACTCCATGAGCAGCAGTGTTGAGGGGTTGTTCTTGCCCCCCCCAGGCAACATTGGCAGTGGACCCCAGAGCTTGTCGCTCAGCCAGGGATCCATCGGGGGAAGTGGTGGAGCACTGCCGGGCTCGGCCGGGCTCGGAGCGGCAGGCATGGGTGGCAGCGGCGGTGCCGTGGCCTCAGGGCTTGTCAAGTACGAGAGCGACACCTCCGGCCTGAGCCTTCACCAGCACCACTTACCCTCGCAGGTCTCGCCCACACAGTCGCAGCATCCCAGGGTGCACCGCAGGAATGTGTCCGATACTTCTGCCTTTAACAAGTAGGTGCAGGCCTGTGTGATTGTGCTAAGCTTCTGTTTCAGTTATGTCTGTTTTCTTTCCTTGGTTTTTCTTGTTATTCTGATTAAAGTGATTCGGGTGATTTATACATAGTTTTGAGTTTTATTTGATCTGTAATGTTTTTCGAGATATAGTTTTTACAGCCTAGATTATTCATAAGTGAATCTTGGATCTATGGGAAGAACTGCTCTCTCTGGAATACTTTGGTTAATTCCACTCAGAAGTATTAGAAAAAAAAGAAATCTGGGCTGGAAATTTTAGATGAATAATAGAGATTTTATTTTGTTTCTATTGTGAAACTGAAGAGTGTCAGACACCATGCAGTTAATGGTTTGCAGAAAAGGTAGTCAGATATAATCATTTTACAATAGCAAATTAGGATTATCACAACCTTATACTAAATTTGATGAGAATTATGAGAAGCAGCATGATTTTCAGGTTGCAAGATTTTATTACACTCTAGCTGTAAACTCCTAAATTTGTTATGACTGAAATAGTGATATTGCTGTAACTAATGTAAAAACCCATATTTTCATGATTTTTTAAAATAACATATGGAGTGTAGGAACCTGTGGGGAAGTGCATTATTATCTTTCATGAGTAAACCCCATTATGAAATTACTAGTCTGATATATTTTCTGTTTTATCATTTGTGTTATATAACATAGATGAAAAATCTTTTGAGTGACATAAGCACAGAGGTTATGCAAATTTTTATCCTGAAAAATTAGAGATAAACAATTATTTTCACTTGCTTTTTATTGAGTTATTTCAAATAAAACATACTTATATCTGTTCTTATATTGGCTCTGCACAGCTGGGAATCACTGTCAAGCTTTACATCATAGATTATCATAAGCCTCAAGGGAGAGCAGATGGCATGGCTACGTGCATGAGCATAGCTTTATTTGATATCGTCATATGTAAAATTTGTCAGAGAAACAATCATTTCAATATCAAACTCTTCCCTAGTAGTATTATATGTTATGATTTCGTTTGCATAAGCTATATGGAATTCCTAGTTCTCATATCTTATTCATCGTTGTCAGTCTTGTCAGGTAATTCATATTCTCTTTCATCAGTTACTAGCCTTAGAGGTGCACAGTTGTTATGACACTCATGACAGTCAGGCATGTTGGGTTTTGCTCCTGACTTGTCACTCATGCAAACTACGAAAACATTTAACTTTTAAGAATAGGCGATGCAAAATGTCAATTGTTGCACTTGGTTTTCTGGGTTATTTCATGACAGTTGTTATCATTTGTACCTAGGGGTTTAATTTATTTGTATAAAGCACAATTTTATGAGAAGATAGTGTCTATTTTATTGCCAGTTATTGTTTGATTTTCTCTGAGGGAAAAGTATTGGAGGAAGAGTGTTCAAGTGCCTTTTGTTCAAGTAACTCCTTAGAAGTATAGGAAAGTCATACTAACAAAGACTGCAAATTAACAGGACCTTTGCCAGCGAGACGACGCAGTTCCTTGCCCCCTTTGAGACCTCGGTGAAGTCTGCGGAGAGAGAAGCAGGAGCTGCTAGCACCCCTCAGACTGAGGATGGTTCACAGGTGTGTGCTGTGTGTCTGTTGTGTGCAGTAGGTGGTCTAGGGAAGACTGTTTAGACTACTACTTAGTATTGCTTATTAAGTGGTGGTGTTTTGCACAGCTGGGAAGTTTAGGTGGTTTGTTTGGGGTGACAAGTGGGGTTGGATGTGAATTTGAAACTGTCATGATGTATTGTATGTTATGATATGATATTGTTTTATTGTTTAAGTATTGCATTTAGTAACTTTATTTTTCAGTAATTAATATAGTCATATGAATTTTTGTGAATATCAGCCCCTTCCTTATTCCTGGAAAATGGGGGGAGAGGGTTAACGTGTCCTGGAACTATATAACTCTTTGTTGAATTCCATTCTATCTTAGTCTACTACATATGTCACTGAGAATCATTCCTCTTCTCTCTCATTTCTTCAGTTGAGGCTGTTGAGACATGTCATACCTTAGCTATTTTATGTACCTATACGTTTATTGGTGCATTGTTAGCAAACGTGTATTGCTTTGTTTATCATTTGCAAGCTTTAAAATCTGTCAGCATTTTATCATTTAGATCTGGGA